CTGCAAAGTACACATTCTTTTCCAATGCACATGGAACATTATCCAGAATATACCACATCTTAGACCACAGAGCAATCCTCAACAAGATCCAAAACATTGAGATAATACAAAGTATCTTCGCTGACCACAATGCCATCAAGGTAGAAATTAACAACAGGAAGAGCAAGGAAAAAAAAAAAAAACAATTACATGCAAACTGAATACCACCCTGCTTACAAACCACTGGGTAATAGAAGAAATCAGAGATGAAATCAAAAAATTCCTAGAATTAAATGAGAATGAAAACACATCATATCAAAACCTTTGGGACACAGCAAAGGCAGTCCTCAGAGGACAATTTACAGCTTGGCTAGAGGGGGCTCTCAAGCTGAGAAAAGAAAAAAGAAAACAAACAAATCAAAACAAACAAACAAACAAAAAGCCCCAGGGATCCTACTAGCATGGCGGCATGGGCCCAGAAGCAGTTTTACAGTCAAGTGGCATTTCACAGCCTTTCAGGAAGAAGCAAAGATGGCACACGGAGCCAGGTATTTGAGAGAAGGGGTGGAGGGCGTGGTGAGAGTAAGGAATAAATCAAAGGAAGCAGAAAAAAGCAACACCAGCAGCCAACAAATGGCATTCAGGGATCCGGCCAGTGCGGGCGAGTGGAATCCAAGTGGCATCAGGGTGAAGCCAGTGCTTCCCAGCCAAGAGACTGTGGCCGCAGGAATCAGAGGAGGCTGAGCTGGGGTGAAGAAGGGTGGGGGGTGGGAAAGCGTATATCACTGGTTACTGGTTGTTCTGTCTCCTGCTGGAAGCTCTGTGAAGCTGCTTTCCCATACCCTCTGTTTGCCAATCTCCAATAGGAGTCCAAGATGGTGGATCTGTGTTGTGTTAGCTGATAGAGGATTTCTGCATGTATCTCTCCTCATTCTATGTTCTCAGTCAGTTTCTTATTCCATTCGGTTCTTGGCTGAGTTCTTTATCTCTTCATTTGATGCTTAGGGTTTCAGGATTGATGTTTGTCTCTGACTTAGTTTTTCAGATCTTTGCTGTGGAGGGATAGCATGGTGCTTCTGTCTATAGTGCCATGTTGCCCAGAAGTCCGTTCTTGTTTTTTTCTGATTTCATATATATTTATGGAATAATCTTGATTTTGTCTTGATCTATTACAGTCACAGAGTAGCCTTATCTGATGTTGATGTTCTGTGAAATTGTTATGTCCAATAGCAGAACACCAAGGCCTAGGTTATTGTACCAGGCCAGCTGCTTGATGTCAGGGGATGCTTTTCTCTTTCTCACGTTTTACATTTATAATTCCCTAAATTCTTTTATACTACTTAGGGATTACTTTAAAAACAATTTCTTGTGTTATTTATTTAATGGACTAGATATTCCAATGGACTAGAATCTATAGATTATTATTATATTGTGGCAGGTGTAAAGCACAGCTCTATACAGAGTATTATAGCATCACAGTTTTGAAATTTCTATCTTAGCCTGGATGTTTCAGAGATGTCCCCTGATGAGCAGTGAAGACATTTCAGTAATGAAGAGGTCTGGGGAAAGGGCATTCCGGGAAAAGGGCACTTCAAGCGAATGGGGTGGCATGAGCAAAGTCCTAGGGAAAGATAATAGCATGGTGAATATAGACAAATGCAAACAGTTTGCTTTACTTGCAACATAAATCCTAAGGGGTATGTGGCAAAGAATATTCTGAAGAGGTAGGCAGAATCTAGGGCAAGGAAAACCTTTGTAAGTCGTATTAAAGAGATGAGACTCCTTCCCATAGACAATGGAGAATAATGGATATGATTTAATTGAGGCTAATGATATTAACAAGTTTGCCGTTTAGAAAGATTACTCTGGCTACCATGTGGAGAATAGATTTGAGGAAAATAGATTGGAGGCAGGGATACTAGTTAGAAAGCTGTTACACTTTTCTAGGCAAGAAATGACGAGGTCATGAACTAGAGCACGCACTAGAGGTAGTGGGATTTGTGAATACAGGATGGATTGAAAAGATTTAGGTGATAACATTATCAGAACCTGCTGATTAATTAGAAAGAGACTGAAGATTAAGATACCTAGTTTGGGTGATGAAGTAGATGGTTATGACAGCAATTAAGATTGAGAGTATGGATGAGGGACTTCTTTTTTGTTTTCTACAGTTGTTTTGCTTTGGATAGACATCAACTGAGTAGTTGATCAGGATCTTTATTAAAGAAGTACCTTTTGTGGGTGGGGTAAGGAATTAAAAAGATATTAAATGAGTTACATTGATAGGACTTAAAGACTAGTTAGATGTTTAAAATGAGGAAGAAGCCAAGTATTGGATGCCTGCATAGATGATGAAGCTGTTCATAAAGATATAAGACATGGAGCAGGTTTGAATACAGGAAGAGGTAAACGATTATTTCACTTTGAGGTGCATATTGGATGTCTTCCAATAAATAGTCTTTTGAAGTTAGTTGATACCGAATTGGAATGCTTGACAAAGATCTGGTCTGGAGATAAAAATTTAGAGTCATCAACAAATAGTTGATGGTTGAGGTCATCACAGTTAAGATCACCCAGAAGTAGTGCTTAGAATGACTGGGCCAAGGATAGACTCTTGGAGATGCTAAGGGTGGGAGTGCAAATGAGCTCTCTCCTGGGAAGGAGAGGCCAAGAAGGAAGGAAGAAAACTAGAAGAGGAAGAAAGAATATCAGAAGACTAGCTTCATGAAGCCAAAGATAAGGCTTCCAGGGAGCATAATTAAGGCTGTAAAGAAATTAAGGAAGAAAAAAAAGACCAAAAAAAGGTGGTCATTATGTGTTACGACTGTTGTTCTTGGCAATGATAATTTCAGTGGTGTGTTAGGGGTAGATGTCAGAGAATTGAAAATTAAATGGGAAAAAAGAAAATGAAAACAGTAAATACAGACTTCTATTTAAGCAAGCTTAGCAACAGCAATAGCAAGCAAGAAAAACTGACAGTCTGTTCAATGTATCCTTATAATGCAATTTAGCTATTATATACCTATGTTAGCAACTCTTGAGGAAATTGATCATTTTCATATGATATTCAGCAATTGTTTTTTTTTAATTGTGCTATATATCATAGCCATCTTAGTGAGTTTGAAGTGATATCTCATTGTGGAGCAATTGCTGTTAATATTTACTTTCCATTATATGTTACATGTCCAATTGTATGAAAATTTTGATTTATGGGTAAATATCTATAAATGAGGTATCCCAAAAATACAGTTTGGGGCCTGGATGTTCCATTTTAGGTGGCTACAATTATAAAATTACCAAATATTTTTTAAAATATCCATTATAATTTTTGTATTAAGTAGAAATAAACTTTGTTATAGTAAGCCTATTTCCTGGGCATGGGGGAGGGATGAGGGACAAGGAACTGATTACATCTAACCATGGATCTTTCGTTTGTTTTATCTTTCAGATAATAAGTCATTCTGTTACCTTGCCTCTTTTAAAGTCACAAATATCAAATACGAAGAAAAATATGCAGTGAAAACTTCAAGGGAATTTATAGAAAGGAGTCATCAGATTGAGAGAATGGTAAGCTCCATAGCATTTTTAAAGTTAATGAATGAGTCTTTCTGCCTCATTTTGAATGTTCTCATTATAGGAGCTTACCCTCTCTGTGCCTCAGTTTCTTCTGTAAAATGGTTATAACATAGTACTTAGGTCAGATGACTGTGAAGATTAAACAATTTAATATATGTAAAATATTTAGAATAGTGTTGTACACCATTATATATGTACTAGGTTAGAGCAGGCAACTAATTATCACTTAAGAAAATTTTTGGTCAAACAAATATTTTCTCTATTTATAAGTCTTGATTTTATGTTTCTTGGTTCATTTTCCTGAATCTTTTTTTTTTTTTTTAGCATAGTATTGCCACATTCACCGTATCATTTTGTTTATTTTGTTTTTGAAAGCACTTAGTTATATAAAATATAATTTCATATATTTTAATTTTATTCCTGATATCAATCTTAAATTAAGTTGTTGTTGTTGTTAGTTGTCATTGAGTCTATTCCAGCTCATGGGGACCCCATGTGTGCAGAGTAGAACTGTTCCATAGGGTTTCTGAGGCTGTGACTTTTCAGAAGCAGACTGCTAGGCCTGTCTCCCAAGGCACCTATGAGTGGGTTCGAACAGCCAGCCTTTCAGCTACTAGTCAAGTGCTTAATCATTTGGCCCACCCAGGGACCCCTTAAATTTAGTTATATCTCTTAAATATCATGGTTTCCTTGATAACTTATGCATTTATCAAGGTATATACAATTTTTAAAGTATAGCATGCAAGCTAAACCCTTATTATAGCAGAAAGGCAAATAGAAAAATTAATCCTCCATTTCTTGACCCATGAAGAGCACTGTTGTGGAGACTATGTATTTGTTTAGCAAATTCAATATATTAGCTTAGAGTGTACCCCTTTAAGCTATGAGAGTTACTTCTGGAACAAAGATGTAACAGCTCTATAGAAAGGGTACTTTGGTAATATGATTCTTTACCATCATCAGTAGACACTATCTCTTAATTAAAAGATAAACACATTAGCATTCCCACCTTTCCCTCATTATATTCTCCTCTCTATGTAAAATTAACAACATGGAGAAATATTTGTACTTTATTCTGTTTTTATACTTATATATTGGTTGAATCTGAATGTTGACAACAAAATAGATACTATTTTCATTTTCATAGCCATTTAAATAGTGTTTTTCATATAACAATAGTATTTTTGTTTTCTACAAATATGTTCAATACTTTTCATGAGATTCAAAGAAGAATGTTTCCAGAGTTGAGTTTGAATAGATTCTCCTTTTTTTCCCATATTTTCAGATATTTGCAAGGCCCTGATCTTTATTTTTTCAGTTTCTCTTTCTTAAAACCATATGCCTCCTGCTTTAATTTGGACTGACTGCTCTCTAGGTCTACCTCACAGAAGTAAACCTGGGGTAGGATAGGACTGTGCTAGTGTGCTGGATCCATTGTTTCCTGTATCCCATGATTTCTTTGATATGATGAGTTATGTCTTCAAGTAACTTCCTAAAAAAAAGTGCATGGATGGTAAAATTTCTGAATTATTGAATATTGAAAAAATCTTTATTTTATAGTCTATTCAATTGATAGCTTGGATCTAAAATTCCAAATTGAAAACCATCTCCACTCAGAACATTGAAGGCCTTGCTTCATTTTTATTACTGTATCAAGTAATACAGCTGATGAGAAATTGTGTATTTAATTTTTATATGACTTGATTTTTCTTATAAACTTTTAAACTGTTTTTTTAGTTTTTTGAAACTTCACAAGGATGTGTCTTGTTATTTTTTATTTCTACATTTTTATTGGAATATTATATCATACTTTAAAAATGTATAAAACATTTAGAACAATTATAAAACAAATAGCTAAATACCCACCACTCAGTTTAAGAAACAACATTGCCAGTACCTCAGAGACCTCTATATGTGCCTCCCTCTTTCCTCCTCAGAGGTCAAAATTCCTACTTTGAATTTCGTTAAATCATAATTTTCGTAGTTTTCTCATTTATGTATGTATCCCTAAATATTACATTGTTCAATTTGCTTCTTTTGAACTTCATGTAAATGGAATCATACTATATCCTTAAGAAACTATCTTTAAAGTTTCTTCCTTCCTTTCTTTTTTTTTTTCTGTCTCAAGGAAGTAATACTTGAAATGCAAAAACACTTTTGGAGACATAAAATATTACCTCTGAAAATATCGATGTTTACATTTACTAAATCTTTTACTGGCTACAAGCTTAAAAACCTCATCTGAAAATTGGGGATGTGCCTTCACAGATCTTCCAAAGAATAAACACATTGAAACAGAGGCAGAGCAGAGCATTCTCTAGCTCCAAACAATTTATCCCTGAGTAGGTTGGATCCCAAGAAGCAGAATCTGAGATGAGGGTTCTTGCTGAAGAGGTTTATTAATCAAGAGCTTTTAAGAGAAACGTGTAAAGAAGTGAGGGCAGCAGGAAAGGGCAGAGGAAGAAGCTAGACAAAGCTATGGTTTCAGAAGGGCAGCCTCAGCACAATTTCTCTGGGAGTTCTGGAGCCTAAATTGTATCATAGAAGTGGCTCCACCTACAGGCAAGGGGGCTGAACTACCAACAAGGGCTGCCCGCGGAAGGTGGAGCGTAACCTCCCAGGCATAACTGGGTGTGATGCTCAGGTCAGACAAGGGCAAGCCTCTGGAGAAGTGCAGGTGTCAGCTGTTATTAGTCAACGGTTACAGAAGCTGTGAAACGCGTGGACTTGCCCAGTAAATCTAATCTGAGTAGAACACAAATATCTGTTCTAATTCCTTTTTCGTCACAATTCATCATCTTTAAAGCGAATTCAGCCTTTTAAGAAATGTCTAAAGAAAATTCTACTTGTTTGATAAGGGATTACAGATGTTAATCCCCTTTGGTCTAGTCCTTCAGATCATCCAGGGCATAATTCCTCATATGGGCAACTCACAATTCTTAATGCTTCCACTTTGTTTTCAGTTACTGTCAAGTCAATTCTGACTCATGGTGACTCCATGTGTGCAGAACAGAACTGCTCCATAGGTTTTCAAGGCTATGACCTTTTCGAAGCAGATCACCAGGCCTGTCTTCCTAGGCATCTCTGGGTGGGTTTGAACCACCAAACTTTCAGCCAGTAATTGAGACTACCGTCTGAACTGTTTGCACCACTCAGGAACCCCACTTCCACTTTAGTCATCTTTAATACCTTGTCTACATCGCAACCAGTCTGATCTTTTTAAAAAGAGATCATGTTTTATTTTGCTAAAAATTAATAAATGGCTTTCAATTGTACTAAGAATAAAGTCGAAGCTCTTTACCAAGACCTCTAAGGACCTGCATGCTCTGGTTCTCACTACCCCTCCAATTTTCACATTCCCCTCCTTTATACATTCTGTTTCTTCTGCCTGGAACATTGCCCCGACCCCACTCTTTTTGCTGCTGAATCCTTCTTATCCTTCAGGCATCACTTAAATGTCACCTCCTCAGTGAACCCTTCCCTATTATATACCGCTAGTCATTACCTGATATTACTTTATTATACTAGTTGCCTTTTGTAATTTTTTTTATTATTGTCTATCTCTCTCTGTGAGGACAAGACCACACATTTCTGTTCACTGCTTTATCCAGTGTCTGTCACAGTTCCTGAAATATAGGAGATTCCTAATCAATTGTGTTGAATGAACAAATAGATGGCAAAAAAGTAAGAAGGAGAAAGGGTATATTGAAAGGGCCATTAAGGGGTATAAAAGCCGGCATTTTTTTTCTTCTCAATGCTGTTTTCTTCACAGTGTTCACAATTAACTATAGCTGGAGAATCAATTAATTAACGAAAATGTTATTAAGTACCTACTTTGTGCAAGGCTTTGAAGAATGCCAAGTATAGTTCTTTCCTTAAAGGAATTTATAATATGGCTTATGTATGGAAGTTTATGTATGGAAAACAATGTTGTTAGTTGTTAGGTGCTGTCGAGTTGCTTCTGACTCATAGAGACTATATGTACAACAGAACGAAACGCTGCTAGATCCTGTGGCATTCTTACAGTAGTATGTTTGTTTGAGCCCATTTTTGTAGCCACTGTGTCAGTCCATCTTGTTAAGGGGCTTCCTCAACAATACAAACAATACAAACTGAAATTTAGATAAAAAATGATATGATGATATGAGAGATGCCACAGTGCAACATATAATTGTCAAATGTGTGACTCAAACAATCAATATTTTATGAGTTCAGAAGAAGGAAAAAATCCCTTTGGGCTAGCAGAAAGCCTTCCCGGAGAGGAAAAAGAAAAGAAATTTATTGGTGTATTCGCCCTCTCCTGGTATGTGAATCTTTGAGAGGAGCAGGAAATCTGCAGAACTTGCCTGACTTCTCGTCATGGGTGGGTCTCGAAAGGGATTCCCTAGCTTGTATTCAGTAATTACTGATCTTCCTTGAGGACTTAATTTGTACACATTTCCCATCAGAGGGCAGGTACAAGCTCAAGCTTGCTGACGACAGTAACCAGGCTTTTCAGTCAGAGCCACACGTACTGCTTCAAACACATCATTTTGTTTTTTAATACTGGAATTCACACCAAGGACTACAACTGATGTTTGATTTTAAGGTGATTTTTTTTTTTTTTTTGCACTTTACCATAAACTTAGACATTTTGTTGTTGTTATTAGGTGCCATCGATTCAGTTCCAACTCATATACAAGAGAACGAAACACTGCCCAGTCAGGTGCCATCCTCACAATCATTGCTATGCTTGAGCCCATTGTTGCTGCCACTGTGTCACTCCATCTCATTGAGGGTCTTCCTCTTTTTCGCTGATCCTCTACTCTACCAAGCATGATGTCCTTCTCCAGGGACTGGTGCCTCTTGATCACTATCTTGTTTTAAATGGAATAATAAGTAGTAAAACGATCTACTCTTAGGTTTGGACTGTACAAAGGGAAGGATAAATTAATTTTGTAGTTTGGATTAAGTATTGCATTACTGAGTTCTAAGTAGAAGAGTTTCCCAGAAATTGGTCACAACAATGATTAGGTGTCTGAGAGAGGAAAGTTCTCTTAGCCCAGTTAATCTTAAAAGAAGAAGAGAAAGCAATCTCCTAAGAGGTTATCGTTTATGGGATTCAGGATAGAGAAAATATATCTGGGGCCTTCTTTAAGAGTTTCCTACCCCCAAGACCTTCCTTCTGCCACCAACTGAGTAACCCGTGGTAGCACAGTGGTTAAGCTCTCACCTGCTAACCGAAAGGTTGGGGGCTCAAACTCGCCAGCCACTCTCCTGGAGAAGGATGTGACAGTCTGCTTCTGTAGTTTGGAATCTACTCGATGGCAATGGGTGGGTACAGGTTTGTCAATGTCATCCTATAGTCAGTGCTTAAAGGCTCAGAATCTATAGTTAGATTTCCTGGATTTTTATCCAGGACCACCACTTACTATGCCACCTCAGACAAGTTTACTTAAGTGTCTTGGGCCTTAGTTTCTTCATCTATAAAATGAGACTGATGATAACAGTATTTTCCTCATAGGTGGTATGAGTAGAAACAAGGGAATCAACCCAATGCCTTAATCCACACATTTTGTTAAATAGAGTGGACTCATCATGGGTGCATGGTATTGTTAATATTATATTTTAATTTGAATAGATTATTAGTTATTTCTTATACTCTGGAAACCCTGGTGGCATAGTGGTTAAGAGCTTCAGCTGCTAACATAAAGGACTCTGATATGATACAATCCCGATCCTTCCCTTAAATACCATCATGTGTACAAGTTCAAGATTTCTGAGGACATTTATTTAAAATGATGGAGACCTTAAAATCGGCTTTTCTCCCTATTCCTTGAGAAACAGAACTGAAATAAGCTCAGATAGCTTAGTGAAATCCGAAGTATTATGATTCATTACTGACCCAAAGCCCTGAAACAGCTATCCATATGGGGTCACCACTGAGGTCTTTTGGATCCCACCTTGCGTCAGATTTCTACCTACAGTTGGTTACATGATTTGCAGCTAAAACAAAATTATGTATTTTCATCTCTTTTCCATTACCCTATTATTGATTCTTAATTGATTTACTCAATTATTCATCCACACATTTATTCATCGAACATGCATTGAGTGTTTACAGCTCGCCAGGGAATGTGCTGAGCACTGGAGATACACAGATGAATCAGGCACACTCCTCGCCCTCACACAGATTGGAGTCTAGAATTGGAGAGACACCATTGTAAACTAGTGTGATAACTGCTGTATTAGAATCATGTGCAAGTTGTTTGCGTGGCGCACAGGAAGGAGTGTTTAACTTTGAGGAGGGCAGTCAAAGATAATTTAGTTGTCAGTGGAGTTTCTCAAGAATAACAGAGTTTTCATTAAAGATATTTGCCTGGGTGGGGGTGGGGGGATGTATTCTAGGAAGAGGGAAAATAATGTGCAAAGTCACCAAGGTGTGAACCACTCTAGTGTGATTAGAAAAGAACAAGTAATTCGGTAGATAAAAGAGTAGGTTTTGGAAGAGGAAGCACGGACCAATGAAGGGATCAAATTGTGAGGCTCACACTGAGGTGGACATAGGTATTATCCACAAGCTATTGAGAGTTTTGAAACAGGAGTATAATATTCTCAAGTTTTTATTTTAGAGATGTAACTCTGGTTGCTAGCATTGTGGAAGAATAACTGAGGGGAGGAAAATAGGATAGAATCATATAAACGTGCAGTTAGGTGGCTGCAGCAAAGGCCTAGGCACAAGTTGCTTAGAAGCTGATCATAGACCATAGCAGTGGGATTGAAGGAATGGACATGGGTTAAATATTGAGGTGGTAAAATCTACTAGGTGTTCTTACTAATTTAGTGGAGTCAGGGAGAGGAAGGAATCTGGTGTTGTTGGTGGGACAATAGTCTCTCTCCCCAGAGGAGGTAGTAATTGGGCAAGAGAAGATTTACTGTGGATATGGACCTTATATAAACTTAAGTGGACCTATAATTTCTGACTTCTGGCTCTCAATACAATGTTTTTTTTTACTCCAAGTTACTACCTCAACAGTTAGATAGACTCCCTTTTGGGAATCAAGTCCTTTTAAGGAATCAGTTCACCAAGCATCTGAAACTCTTCAATAGCTTGTACTGGAAAAGCTGAGTAAGAAAATGCTGATAGTATGGTGTGTGGTAAAACTTATTCCCAAACCTATTACCAGTTGTGAACGCTTGCACGTCATAGAGAGATGACTAATATGTAAGGGTGTCACGGGACAGATTTTGTCATATATTATGTCAAATGCTTTAGTAGTGGTATAATCATTTAAGAAATTAGCAAATCAATATCAATAGTAGAGGAGATGCCATAGTCAGAAATGAATGCAGCAAATTTACAGCCAGCTTTCTTAAAGATAAAGATGTTGCCTTAAAAAAAAATAGCACAGATACCTTTAGTTCACTTGACAATAATCAAAACTGAAATTATCAACAGTTTATTACATGCCTCAAAGGGTATTATATACACTATTTCATTTAATTCTTAAAACAATTCTATGAGGTAGCTATTGTTGTTATTCCTTACAGAGGATAAGCAAAGTTGAATAGATTTTGTCTTACCATTGTGAATAAGCCATTTACATGTCTTCAAACAAACTGAAACCCTTGCCTTTGCCTCAAGTCTTTAAGACAGGGAGTAACAATTTTGTTAAGATTAATATATTTTCTTTTTAATCAGATGTCCAGGATATTTCGAAGCTCCACAGAAAGCCAATTTATCAACTCTTATGTTATCAGACTAAGGTATGTAAATGTGGTTTTCAACTTTAAACCAATACCATTAACATGAGGTGCTTGACAAAGACAGTTGCTCAGCTCCCCTAATGGCCTTGTGAACATGGAGCAACACACAGATTTCATAAATATTGAGCAGCCCAGTTTATATTACTTAACCATTTCCCGACCACAATGGGAGGAGTAAAGTGATCTATGACAAAAGATAATCCTAGTTACTACTTGGGGGCGGGGAGGCAGTGAGAGAGGAATGTGCTCTGTGAGAGAAAAAAAATACAAGAAGAGGAGGGCTGATGCTAAACCTTGCCTTCCCCTCACCCCCTGCCCTTTAAGCTAGGGGCTAAGTAGAACTTATGCCAGTTCCATTTGATTGTCCTTATTTTAGGCCTACACAACAATCAGATTATGATTTTCTCCTCATTGCATTTTAATTATTATTTTTAATGCCTCTTTATTCTGATGCTCTGGTGTAAGTTAATATACATAAATTGAACTTGATATTGTCAGAGACTTAAATAAATTAATAGAATCCATCCTGAATATGCTTTTTATATGATTTCCAAAAAGCTTGGCATTTACTGGCATATATATATTATAATTCTACCACTTGTCTGTCAGCTTGTTGTTCTGTGGTGGCTTATGTGTTGCTGTGATGCTGGAAGCTATGCCACCAGTACTACAAATACCAGTAGGGTCACCCATGGTAGAAAGGTTTCACCTAAGCTTCCAGACTAAGACAGACTAGGAAGAAGGACATGGTGATCGCCTTCTAAAAAAAAAAAAAAAAAAAAAAACTGGCCTCCTCAAGGTAGAATCAACCTTAATGACTTGGAGGGAGTCAAGCTTTGGGGACCTTCATTTGCTGATGTGGCATGACTCAAAATGAGAAGAAACAGCTGCAAACATCCATTAATAATAGGAATGTGGAATGCAAAAAGGATGAATCTAGGAAAATTAGAAGTCATCAAAAATGAAATGGAACACATAAACATCAATATCCTAGGGATTAGTGAGCTGAAATGGACTGGTATTGGCCATTTTGAATCAGATAATCATATGGTCTACTATGCCGGGTGTCTTAGTCACCTAGTGCTGCCATAACAGAAATACCACAAGTGGATGGCTTTAATGAAGAGAAGTTTATTTCCTCAGAGTCAAAGTAGGCTAAAAGTCCAAATTCAGGGCATCAGCTCCAGGGGAAGTCTTTCTCTCTCTGTCGGCCTTCTCATCAGTGTTCCCCGGACTAGGAGCTTCTCGGCACGGGGACCCTGGTCCAAAGGACACGCTCTGCTCCCGGCACTGCTTTCTTGATGGTATGAGGTCCCCCTGTCTCACTGCTCACTTCTGTCTTTAATATCTCAAGAGATTGCCTCAGGACACAATCTAGTCTTGTAGATCAGGTCCTGCCTTACTAACACGACTGCCACCCATTCTCCGTCATTAACATCATAGAGGCAGGTTTACAACATACAGGAAAATCACACAGTACCAGGAATCATGCCCTAGCCAAATTGATATGCACATATTTGGGGGGACATAATTCAAACCATGACACCAGGAAAGACAAATTGAACAGGAATGGCATCATATTCGTCATCAAAAAGAACATTTCAAGATCTATCTTGAAGTAGAAGGCTGTCAGTGATAGAATAATACCCATACATCTACAAGGAAGACCAGTTAATATGATTATTATTCAAATTTACCCACCAACCACTTAGGCCAAATATGAAGAAACTGAAGATTTTTACAAACTACTGCAGTCTGAAATTGATCAAACATGCAACCAAGATGCACTGATAATTACTGGTGATTGGAATGAAAAAGTTGGAAACGAAGAAGGATCAATAGTTGGAAAATATGACCTTAGTGATAGAAACGATGATGGAGATCTCATGATAGAAATTTGCAAGACCAACAACTTACTCATTGAAAATACCGTTATTCAACAACATCAACGGAGACTATATGCGTGGAACGAGCCAGATGGGATACACAGGAATCAAATCGACTACTTGTGTGGAAAGAGGCAATAGAGAAGCTCAGCATCATCCGTTAGAACAAGGCCAGCAGAAGACTGCAGAACAGACCATCAGTTGCTCATATGCAAATTCAAATTGAAGCTGAAGAAAATTAAAACAAATCCACAAGAGCCAAAGTACAACCTTGAGTATATTCCACCTGAATTTAGAGATCATTTCAGGAATAGATTTGACATATTGAACACTAATGACTGAAAAACAGATGAGTTGTGGGATGACATGAAGGACATCATAAATGAAGAAAGCAAAAGGTCATTAAAAAGAAAAGACCAAAATGGATGTCCGAAGAGACTCTGAGACTTGCTCTTGAATGTAGAGTAGCTAAAGAGAATGGAAGAAATGATGAAGTAAAAGAGCTGAACGAAAGATTTCAAGGGGAAGCTTGAGAAGACAAAGTGAAGTATTACAATGAAATATGCAAAGACCTGGAGCTAGAAAACCAAAAGGGAAGAACATGTGTGGTATTTCTCAAGCTGAAAGAATTGAAAAAAAATTCAAGCTTCGAGTTGCAATACTGAAGGATTCTATGGGCAAATTATTGAACAACCAAGAAGCATCAGAAGAAGGTGGAAGGAATACCCAGAGTCACTGTACCAAAAACAATTGGTCGACCTTCAACCATTTAAGGAGGTAGCATATGAACAAGAATATATGGTACTCGAGGAGAAGAGAGAAAATGGCGCTCTAGGCAGAAGCACCACGCCGTCCCGCCACAGCAAAGATTCGAAAAACTAAGCCAAACAGAGAATACAACAATCCTGAAAACCTAAAACATCAAATGAAGAGATAAAGAACTCAGCCAAGCACCAAATGGAGTGAGAAAACTGACAGAGAACGGAGAGCAAGGAGAGATTCATGCAGAGGTCCCCTACCAGCTAACGCAGCACAGATCCACCGTCTTGGACTGCTATCAGAGACCAGCAAACGGGGGTATGAGAAAGCAGCCTCACGGAGCATCCAGCGGGAGAGAAAACAACCAGTAATTTGCGGTGTGCGCTTTCCCACCCCCCAGCCCTCTTTGCCCCGGCTCGGCCTCCTCTGCTTCCCACGACTACAGTCTCTTGACCGGGAAGCGCCGTCTGCTTGGATTCCACACACCCAAGCGGGCGGCTCTCTGGGTGCCATTTGTTGGATGCTAGTGTTGCTTTTTTTTTCTGCTTCTTTTGATTTCTCACTTGCCTCTCGCCAAATCCCCCTCCTTTCGCTCGAGTGCCTGGCTCTGTGCTCCATCTTTGCTTCTTCCTGAGGGGCTGCAGAGCTCCATTTAAGTGTGGAGCTGCTTCCTGGTCTGGGCTACCGTGCTGGTGGGATCCTGGGGCTTTTGTTCGTTTGTTCCTCTGCTTCCCGCGGCCACAGTCTCTTGACCGGGAAGCACAGGCTGCTTGGATTCCACACACCCAAGCGGGAGGCTCTCTGGGTGCCGTTTGTTGGATGCTAGTGTTACTTTTTTTTCTGCTTCTTTTGATTTCTCACTTGCCTCTCGCCAAATCCCCCTCCTTTCGCTCGAGTGCCTGGCTCCGTGCGCCATCTTTGCTTCTTCCTGAGGGGCTCCAGAGC